AATATCGATCATTCTTTAGTTTTTTATTTTCTTCCTCACAACATGGCGTTTGAGCCCCGTGGGGACTCATTTTGTTATCTGTGCTCAAATCCTCAAATTTTCATATTCGCAAATCTTGAAATCTCTAAATTCTTAAATATTTTAGACGCTGAAGCTCCAAATCCTAAAATTGCCATATACCTAAATCTCTAGTTTCCCAAATCCCTAGATCTTCAAATTCCGAAATGATAAATTTACAGATCCTGGAACCGCCAGATTCCCAAATTCCCTATTTCCCAAGTTCTCAAATTACTAAATTCACAAACTTCGAAATCCTTAAATTCTCAATTACGTAAGTCTTTAGATCTACAAATTTCGAAATTCAAAATCCACCAATTCTGAAATCATCAGATCTCCAAATTCCCAAATTCTCAAACTTTCAAATTTTTAAACCTTCAGATCGCCAAATTCGCAAATTCCCAAGCTACCAAACTCTCAAATTCTGAAATCTTCAAATTCCTAAATCATCATCTAAATCTCCAAATCCCCTAATCCCAAAATCCCCAAATCTACAAATCTACAAATCCCCAATTCCCTAAATCCCCAAATCCCAAAATTCCAAAATTCCAAAATTCCAAAACCCCCAAATCCCCAAATCCCCAAATCCCCAAATCCCCAAATCCCCAAATTAAATCCTCAAATCCACAAATCCACAAATGTCCAAATACCTAAATCTCCCAAATCCACAAATTTCCAAATACCTCAAGGTCCAATATTCCCAAGGTCCAATACTCTCAAGATCCAACACTCCCAAATTTCAATACTCCCAAGATCCAACACTCCCAAGGTCCAATACTCCCAAGTCCCAATACTCCCAAGGTCCAATTCTCCCAAATCCCAATACTCTCAAGGTCCAGCACTCCCAAATCCCAATACTCCCAAATCCCAAATCTCCCAAATCCCAAATCTCCCAAATCCCAAATTCCCAAACTCTCAAAAACCCCCAAAAATCCTAAATTCCCAAATTCCCAAACTCGCAAACCCTTAAATCTCAAGGTTCTTAAACTCCCGAAACCGCTACACTCCAAATTCCCAAAACCGTACCTCTCCAAAATCTCAATCCCTAAAACCTCCCCAAGTCCACAAAATCCCTAGTCCCGCAAATCCCCACCTCCCACACCTCCTCGTACCAACAACCTTAAAACCTCACCTAAAAAACCAAAACCATCACAACTAAAATGGAAGAACGTACTAAATAATCGAAATAAGAATTGCGAGGGGTCCGTTCAGAGCAATATTACGACAGGCGTCAGATTTAAGGGCGAGTAGAATGGGCTGACGGGGATGATGCACCGAAATTTATCGAACATCTCTCGCCGACTCGACGATAAGACTCGTCGGGAGGCACTCTAGCACTCTCGAGTGCAAAGCAGAAATGCATTCGGCGAAAGAGGCAAAGAACCTGCGCCGACTCGATGGTTTCAACCTCGGCAAACCTGGGCGGAGTTTCGAGCTACCGAGCTGAATCTGCACCGCCCAACTTCGTCCCCTGTTCGTCCTTCTGTGTTCACCATTCCCCTCTTTCTCGTCTTTCCCACCCTTGTTAGGATTTCTTCTTTTCACGGTTTCGCGTACAGGCAGCGCGCAAACGCGCCCCGACGACGCGCCGACTAATTTCAGAACGATCCGCCAACAGTGGGGCAGCCACATCTATGCCTCCTTCTACCTTTTTCTCCTCTGACGCTTCATCTTTTCCTTCGTATTTTCGACGATTAGTTACTTTCGATGCCGGTAATCGCTATTAGGGACACGGAACAATTGCGATTTTCAAGGTGCTGCGGCACTTTGATGCTAGGTTTAGGTAGCTTGTTTCTGAGTGACAGGATATGACAGCTTAGGTTTCAGAATTTTTAAATTAAGAAATTTGTGAATTTTCAAGACTGCAAGTTTGAAATTTCTTATTACTGTTTTTGATGGCAATAGGGAATTTTGTAGGAAAGGTTTTGGACTTTGATGCGGTGACTGATGCTAGGTATAGGTAGTTTTTGTCTGGGTGACAGAATATGGAATCTTTGAGTTCTTAGGTTTCGGAATTTATCAGTTTCAAAATTATGAAATTTGTAAATTTTCAAGGCTGCAAGTTTGAAATTTCTTTTTACTGTTCTTGATGACAATAGAGAATTTTGTAGGAAGGGTTTTGGGACTTTGATGCGGTGACTGATGCTAGGTGTAGGTAGTTTTTGTCTGGTTGACAGAATATGGAATCTTTGCGTTCTTAGGTTTCAGAATTTATCAGTTTCAAAATTATGAAACTTGTAAATTTTCAAGGCTGCAAGTTTGAAATTGCTTATTACTGTTTTTGATGGCAATAGGGAATTTTGTAGGAAGGGTTTTGGGACTTTGATGCGGTGACTGATGCTGGGTAGTCTGTTTCTGGGTGACAATATATGGAATAGTTGAGTTCCTATTTTTTGCGAATTTATCAATTTCAAATTTTGAAAATTTTACAGTTTTAAGTTATGCAAGTTTGCAATATACTGATGCTGTTTTTGACGGGAATGGGGAATTTTCAAGGTGGGGATTTGGAATTTTGATGCGGTGCAATAATTGCATCTAGGTTTACGTAGTTTCTTGTTTCTGGATGAAGAAATGTCAAATGTTTGAGTTGCTACATTTCTGAATTTACCAATCGCAAAACTATGATATTTGTAAATTGTCAAGTCTACAAGTTTGAGATTACGACTACCATTTGATCGTAATTACTATTATTGTTTTTGACAATAATGGAGAGTCTTCGGAGATAGTTTTCGGTATTTTAACGCAGCCTGCAGTGTAACTTAACCTGAATTCAGATAGTTCTTTGTCTCTATATGACAGAATATCGAATCTTTGAATTCTTAAATTTGCGAATATACCAATAGCAAAATTCAGAAATTAAAAAATTGTCAAATTCACAAGTTTTTGAATTTCCTCAAAAATTCAAACACTTAGCTTCAAAACATTAGAATTCTGATGTTTCAGATGTTCAGTTTCAGAAATTTGAAAATTTCCTAATATTCCAAAAATCCAAGTGCACAAATCGTTCAATTATTAAAATTCCCAATTTCCTTCAATTGCACTCAATATTCTCAAATTTCCCTAAATTTCCCTACATTTCATTACATTTTATTAAATCTCCAGAAATTTTTCTAAATTTCCCTAAATTTCTCCCTAAACTCCACTTACAAATTTTCAATCTCTTAAATTTTCAAATTTGAATCACATATGTTATTGTATGTTATATTTAATAAAAAATAAAAATACCTAATCAAACTTTCAACAGTTCTAATATGATAGTCAATGCGTTACACTTGATAAAATACCCTCTTACTATAAACAATATATACAACAAAATCTTGCAAAAAGTATTTGACGAAATTCGGTAAAAATAAAAATACCTCAAAAATAAAAATAACCTTTTCACCTATTCTAACACGGCAGTAAATACTATGTAAAACATCACGAAATAAAAGTAGTATTTCATATTTAAGCCCCGCTCATGCATTATTTCCTACCGCACGAGGGTTGCGACGGGTAAATCAGATCTCCTCAACAATGGGGTCCTTCAGTCCCTTCTGTTCTTTCCGACGCGTTAAAACACTCCTTATCAATAGGCACTCGCTGAAATCTCGACTTGCCCAATTTTTTGCACGCATCCCGGTCTCGAAACAAAAGATGATGACTGTAATTTTCGCGAGAAGTGTCCGTATTGACGGCACAAATGACGCGCGGCTTCGAGCTACGCGTTTTCGATGCGTTCGGCCATAAAAGAAAGACGTGAAGATGAATTGTTTTACGCAGATGGCTGTTCGATGACTGACACTCGACGAGCATTTTATTTTTAAAGTGGGTCTCTTTTTATAGGTTCATTTTTTGGTGCTGGATGTTTAAAGGTTGCTTTTTGATAAATTTAAAAGTATAGTCAAATTTTCTTTTGTGGTATTAAATAATGTTTACAGAGCTGACTAAAAAAAATATAGGTTTTATACCTAAATTGTCTGACTTTAAAGATTAATGAACTATTGCAGTCGTTGATTAATTAGATAATTTTTTACATCTTTTACAAAATATTACAGTGACTGTAAATAACATTGTAATTCATTTTAAAGGTTGTTGATGACATTGTAGTTAAACTTTTGTAATAATCGATTATTATATAACATTATGAATGTTTACAATTTTTACTAGTATCTGTTGTTTTTGCTAGTACAGATTATAATTATTTTTAATAGTGAACTAGCTGTTGGATGACTAACTATGGATGACAGAAGTAAATTTTTATTGTTATTAAGTAATACAAATTTTCAACATATGTGTACATATACAAGTACATTTTTACATATGTATAATAGCGTGTGTTATGATATGTAACATCAGCTATAATGATGTATCTTATGCACACGTATAACAGATATAATAATACACGTTACACACATATATGTATGTATAACAGTTATAAAAAAATATTACATATATGTACGGTAACAGACATAATAATATATGTACATTATATTCACATGCAATAATAATTATAATGCATAATATATTCTTATTGAGTTATAGCAGTGTATGTTATGAACATATGTATATGTATTATATGTATGTGTATTATACAATAATAGTTGTGATAATATATATTATGTGACATTATATACATATGCAATAACAGTCATACTAACATATATTAAAAAGATGTGCAATAACATATATAACATATACAAAACATTTCATAAAATATATCATTTTAATAACATATATCATACACACATGCAAACAATTTTAATAACGTACACATATGAAAAAAATTCTAATAACATATATTATACACATACGTCCAGCAAGTTGCGCAAATATATTTTTACAAAAAAAAAATCATATCGTTGCACAAATTTTGTTACCAAAGTAAAGCAAGAGCGTGCGGAAAGTAAAATTTTTGCGTACCTTTGATATCTGTATTTGAAGGGTGTTTCTTTTATTTTCAGAGAGTACAAGCTCGCACTGTGTGGGATGCGGTGGACGAATACATGACCAGTGGATTTTGCGGGTTGCACCAAATCTGGAATGGCACGCCGCTTGTTTGAAATGTGCGGAGTGCCAACAATTTTTGGACGAACACTGCACCTGTTTTGTTCGGGATGGAAAAACTTACTGCAAACGAGACTATGTCAGGTAAGAAATTATATTAAACTTCTGTACAATTACAAAATATATGTGTATGTTAAAAATGGAAGAATGTAAAAATGTAAAAATGTAGAAAATTCATGGAGCACACCTTCGATTTATACATATATCAATTTTCTGCCAGAGTTCTCAAAAATCCCCAAAAATAATTCTTGAAATATTTAGTCTTCAAATGATCGGTTCACAAAGATCTAAGTCGCACAACTAAACCTGCGTTCACTTTCAATGGAAATAAAAAATTAATACACATATTAATTTATGTTTTATTTATTTATTTTCCAATTTTATTTTTAATTTCAAAGTACATGTACGCCGGTACATTTACCGATATAATTTACCGTGAAATTTATTTCACGAGATCGACATATTTTCGAACGGCGTTCGCGAACGATGGGATTGCAGAGGAACAAAAAGGGAGACGCAACAGCGAAGGGGAGAAACGATGAAAGTAAGAACTGACAGAGGGTGTCTTCAGTGTATTTTTATCTGAGATACACGGACCAGAAGCCACCGTGTGCGCTCGGAGAAACACAACGCCAACAAAAAAGTACAGTTCACACGTGGTTGCATCGAACTCACGGAATTGAACGTAGAATTAATGTCTCTCCGAATGTTGATGTTACGTAAAGGGCCAAAACAAACGAGTTCGATGGTGATTTTAACCCTAGAGTGAGCGCCAACCGTCTTACAAATCGAAGTTTGAATATTGCTTGAATCGGACATTTTGATTTCACGTGGCGGGAAATTCAATTTAATTAAATTAATGACGGAGGTGATTTCTGTAATTTTCAAATTTTTTTAGACATTTCAATTTGTGCATTTCGAACTTATTTGCAAGTTTAGACATTTTTGAGTTATTGAGTTATCAAATTTTAAACCGATAAATTCGTAAATTCCCAAGTTTTTAAAGCTGCGAATTTCTTACATTTACAAATTGCGTAAATAGCTGATTTTCTTAAATTCTCAACTGTCCAAATTTTTAATCTTGCAAATCGTTTTCAAAGTTTCTGGATTTATTTACGAACTCTCAAATCTTCAAATCACAAAATCCTCAAATTTTCAAGTTTCAAAACTTTTCCAAGTTCTAACATTTCCCAGATTTTCAAGATCTAAAATTTTTAACCCTTGAATCTCTGTATTCACGAATTCTCAAATCCCCAAAGTTTTAAGTTTAAAACGAGTACAGTGGAGAAGAAAGACGAGAACTTTTTAAAACTCGAAGCGGATCGATCGACAACCCGGGGCAACCTGCGCCAAATATTTTTCTCTTTCGGGGACAGGCGGTTTATTTGCATTGATCCATCGAACGTCGAAACGCCTCCGAAACGAAGAAGAAGAAGAAGAAGACTGGCATATCCGGTCGACACGGATTTGCCAGCCCAGAGAGACACCGATGACAACTGTTTGTTGTCTCTGTCGCCACGCTCGAAAAGTCGAAACAACCCGGGTAAAACGTTTCCTTCTGGGTGATCCTCGATGTAGAGGCTGTCGAGTAAATTTGGCAGGGACGGGTTGGAATTATTGGTTCTTGCTTAAATAAATTATATTGTAATTAAGGAATGACAACACTGAATGTACGAAATAAAATTGTTTAGAGGTTAGAGAATAAAGACAAAGTTAGAATTTGAAGTATGAGTTTGTCATCGGACGGTTTTAGGCTTCTGAAAAATTAGACATTCGTATATTTAGTAATATTTTCTAAATCTCTTTTATATTATAACGATTAATAAATTTTTGCAAACAAAAATTTGATGATTTTTATTTCTTTGATTTGACATTTTCGTTTCTTTGATGATCGTGATCTAATATAATACTCGTTTGTTGATTTACTTTCATCTTTTAAAATTTTTAATTATTAAGCAATACGTAAAAATTACATTAGTAGAATAGTGTAGTTTACATACATAAAAAATTTCACATAATGTACTCCTTTAAAATTGGACACACACTGCTACCTTTTATATGATAATTTGATAATCATAATTCGGACATAATATCTTGACAATCATATTTCTAATATTATATCTTGGTAATCATACTTGATACATGATATCTAGATATCTAGATTATACTTCTTGCACAATACCTCGATAATCATATTCTTATATGCTATCCAGATAATCATACTTCTCATAAAATACCTTGATAACCATACTCGCAAATAACATCTCCTTAAGTCGCCATTTTAGATCAAACGTAAAGATCACGCTATCAATCATTTTCCGCCATTTCTGTAATAAATACGCTTTCGAGTTACTAGGGTTATTTTACAAAACCGTATCAATCGGTATCGATTCCTTAAGGAACTACATCACTTCGATTCTTGAAAATATCACGGTACAACTTTTACAAACGTCTCATTAATTCCGTAACAGTCCACGTATTTCTCAACCGAGCGACAGAAAGATGTCGAACTAGTGCCTTCCACGACGACCACTGACGCCGCTATTTAAAGTCCAACCACTGACAGGTCAAATTTCTGCGGCTTTTTTGGAAGCGTTCTTCGCGTCAGTATTTGCTCGAACCCTTCGCGAATTCTCGTTCAAAGCGAACAAGTCGAAACGACGAATAGATTGCGTTGTCTGCGTGACAAAAATAGAGAAAACCAAGTGTTCTTTTGGAACCGATAGACCTTGCAGACGCGTCTGGGGATATTGGTTGTCCGGAAAGTTTGTGTCACTATGGAAACCACGATTTTATTACCTTCTGACCGGATAATAAACGTTTGGCTTACCTGACTGGATATTCATAGGTTTGTCGCTCAGGTACGTAGGGTCAACTTGTCTAATTTGAAGAACTCTCCTAATATAAGATCCTAGCTTCCGATACAGATCTTTTGTGAGTTTCAAGGATACTCTTTTATTTCGTAACTAACCGTACGCATGTTTTATCCGTGCATTGGCTTTGAAATCGATTAAACATCTCGAGCAATCGCATAGCAGTGAAATACTGAATCCAGGGAAATCGGGATCTAGTTGAAACGCAGACCTGCAAAAACGTAGATCTACGAAGACGTGGATCTATGTGAAGGTAGATCTGTGGAAATGTGGATCTGCGGAAATGTTGATCTATGAAAATGTAAACCTATAAAAATAGTCCTATGAAAACGTAGACCTATGGAGATGTAGACTTGTGGCACACAGATCTATGAAAGCGTACACCTATGGAGACCTATGTACACGTGAACCTATGAAAATGTAGATATATGCAAACGCAAATCGCAGATGGAAAACGCAGATCTATGGAAATGTGGAAATATGAAAGCAGATTTATGAAACCATAAACCTATACTAATTTAGATCTATGATACGCAGACTTGCGTAATATGAGTCAATCCTAAAATTTACCGTTCCCATTTTTTTGCAAATTAAACGAATAAAATCCGTTTCTTCAACGCAGTTTCCATAGATCCATAATGCTTCAGTTATATCAATATTATGTGCTTAATACATTTTGGCTGTAAACGCATTAAAAAATAAAACGATGCTATTTTGAATAATTGCAGTAACAGCATGTGTGACATACACAAGCTACTATAGCACGTGCTAATAGCATAACGCACGCGAGAGAAATAAAATTGCGGACGACAATAGAACATAGCCGCTCGACTCCAACGCAGTTGTCAATTATTAGCCATAAAGCATGATTTATGATCGTTTCGTTTACGAGTATCTTTTCTTTCTCATAATTCACGAATGAACCACGTTACTCGGAAAAGACAACGTTGTTCTACGCCTATTTTAGTTAACCGTCGATGGAACTCGGTAATGTAATTAATGGAGCGATTGATCATTAGCCGGTTACCGTCAGAGCCAATTATGCATCGGATAGAACTTTTATTTAATAAAATTCGACAATTTAGGAGGTACCGCTAATGAATGCAATTTACCTCGTTCGGAGAAATCGAACTCGGATAGGCGAACCCGAGTACACCTTGCTGAAAAACCGATAATTAACTGCTCGATACGGCGTGCAAGTGAAATTTCATGCAAACGTGTACACGAGGGTTGACGCCGATAGGGGCAATAAATACATTTACGAGTGAAAGATGGTAATTTCAATTACGATATTTAGCGAAATTAATGAGACTTTAGACACCTCATGCTGGACCGGCATGACTAGATTTCGTGGATCATATTGATCTAAATCAATTTAATTACAAGGAACTAATTAATCATTGCAAAATGAAGCTTAAGTGATTTTTAAATCGTAGTGTGCATGCGTGAATTCTGGAACTCAAATGAGTTTAGTGGTTTATTCAATTTTATTCGATTTTATTTATTTTATTCGGTTTTACTTATTTTATTCAATTGCATTCAATTTTATTTGACTTTATTCAGTTTTATTCAGATTTATACAATTTTATTTAACTCTATGCAGTATTATTGAACTTTATTCAAATTTATTCAGCTCCATTCAATTTTACTCAAATTTATTCAGTTTTATTCAATTCTATTCAATTTTATTCAATTTTACTCAATTTTACTCAATTTTTTCAATTTTACTCAATTTTATCCAATTTTATTCAAATTTATTCTGCTCCATTCAATTTTACTCAAATTTATTCAGTTTTATTCAATTGTATTCAATTGTACTCAATTTTACTCAATTTTACTCAATTTTACTCAATTTTACTCAATTTTACTCAATTTTACTCAATTTTACTCAATTTTACTCAATTTTACTCAATTTTACTCAATTTTACTCAATTTTACTCAATTTTACTCAATTTTACTCAATTTTACTCAATTTTACTCAATTTTACTCAATTTTACTCAATTTTACTCAATTTTACTCAATTTTACTCAATTTTACTCAATTTTACTCAATTTTACTCAATTTTACTCAATTTTACTCAATTTTACTCAATTTTACTCAATTTTACTCAATTTTACTCAATTTTACTCAATTTTACTCAATTTTACTCAATTTTACTCAATTTTACTCAATTTTACTCAATTTTACTCAATTTTACTCAATTTTACTCAATTTTACTCAATTTTACTCAATTTTACTCAATTTTACTCAATTTTACTCAATTTTACTCAATTTTACTCAATTTTACTCAATTTTACTAAATTTTACTCAATTTTACTTAATTTTATTCAATTTTATTCAAATTTATTCAGCTGTATTCAGTTTTATTCGATTTTATTCGATTTCATACAGTTTTAAACAATTTTATTCACTTTTATACAATTTTATACAATTTTTTGATTTACTAACAAATTTTACTTAACGTTTGTAAGTATTTTATTAGAAAAATGACAATTTCATGCGAGCACAATCATCACAGATCAAAATCAAAATTTATAAAATACGAATTACAATAATAATAATGCAAATTATAAAAAGAATAATGATTTTATACTGAAACTATTTTGTAACAACAATATATTATAAAATACCGCAATTTAGTAATAAAATATTCTAATTATATACTAACACATAAAAATAATGTTTAATAAGAACTAATAAGATACTTAAAACTGCAATTAGCACCACTTTTAAAATAGAAATCATAGACACATTTTAAACAGAAATTAATAATACATTTGATTTTGAAATTAAGAACACATCAGGACCTGAAATTTTTAGTACATCTGAAATTGAAATTTATGATATATTAAAAATTAAAATTAATAATACATTTAGAACTGAAATTAGCAACTACAATAAGCATTTAATACAGAAATTAATAATACGTTTGAAACTGAGAATAACACAATTATACCTCAAATTACCAACATATTTAACGCAGTAATTAATTCATTTAAAATAGAAACTTATAAACTTGAAGCTAAAGTTAAAAATACTTCCATATGTTAAATTAAAAGTAACGTAAAAATAAAATTTCTTCATGTTATCTTACGTCACTGAAGTCACAGAAGATTAATCTTCTAAATACGAGTACTTCTTTTTAATAATTATTAATTTATTGACTAATTTTAACCTAATTTTATTACCGAATTGCTATTCTATTTTAAAAGATTGTTTTGTATTTATTTTATAGTGGTATAACCACAGCTGCCACCTGATATTATCAAAAATTTGTTTATATTCTGCCTCTGCCTCTAATATTAACATGTGGTTTATGAACCGCATCCGCAGTTAAAAAGTGTTCCAAAACGCGACATTCGCCATTAGTACCATTAAAAGTCACATTTCGTGTTACACGACCACATCGCTAAAATTAAAAACGAAAGCGAATAATTTCACTTACAAAGTGAAATTTGTTGCAGGTTGTTCGGGACGAAGTGCGACAAGTGTAGTGAGTGTTTCAGTAAGGACGATTACGTGATGAGAGCAAAAAGCAAAATTTATCACATAAAGTGCTTCCGATGTTCGGCTTGCATGAGGCAATTGGTACCTGGCGACGAATTTGCCTTGAGACAAGATGGCCTCTTCTGTAGACACGACCACGATGTTCTCGAGGGTGGAAAACTCTGTTCCGGACCTGGTGGTGTTCCGGGAAGTGAAAACAACAACAACGCATCCCTTATGAATAATAATCATCATCTGCACCCGAACGACGGCTCGATATCAGGTACAGAAATTCTCTTTGTGTTACGCGATTAGAACTTTTACGTTTTCAATTTGAAATTTGGTAATACAATTTGATATTCGGTAGTTTAAGTTTGATCAAGTATGGAATAAAGATAGTGTGATGTGTTTGAACGTTTCATTTTCTAAATTGTATGTGTGTAACATTCTTTTGAAAAATTAGTCATGTTAGGAGGAGTGAAAAATTATTCAAGTTTAATGTAGTCGAAGATTATTTGAGTTTTAAGCAGACAATGATAGATCAAGTTTAAAGTAGTGAAAAGTAAGTCAAGTTCGAAGTAATCAAAAGTAAATCAAATTCAAAGTAGTCGAATATTAGTCAAGTTGAAAGTGGTCTAATATTAATCAAGATAGGAGTAGTCAGAAATTAATCAAGTTTAAAGCAGTCAATAACTAATCAAGTTCAAAGTAGTCAAAAGTAAGTCAAGTTCGAAGCAGTCAAAAATAAATCAAGTTCAAAGCAGTTGAATATTAGTCAAGTTGAATGTGGTCTAATATTAATCAAGTTAGGAGTAGTCAGAAATTAATCAAGTTTAAAGCAGTCAGTAACTAATCAAGTTCGAAGTAGTCAAAAATAAATCAAGTTCAAAGCAGTCGAATATTAGTCAAGCTAAAAGTAGTCTAATATTAATCAAGTTAGGAGTAGTGAGAAGTTAATCAAGTTTAAAGCAGTCAATAACTAATCAAGTTCAAAGTAGTCAAAAGTAAGTCAAGTTTGAAGCAGTCAAAAATAAATCAAGTTCAAAGCAGTTGAATATTAGTCAAGTTGAATGTGGTCTAATATTAATCAAGTTAGGAGTAGTGAGAAGTTAATCAAGTTTAAAGCAGTCAATAACTAATCAAGTTCAAAGTAGTCAAAAGTAAGTCAAGTTTGAAGCAGTCAAAAATAAATCAAGTTCAAAGCAGTTGAATATTAGTCAAGTTGAATGTGGTCTAATATTAATCAAGTTAGGAGTAGTGAGAAGTTAATCAAGTTTAAAGCAGTCAATAACTAATCAAGTTCAAAGTAGTCAAAAGTAAGTCAAGTTTGAAGCAGTCAAAAATAAATCAAGTTCAAAGCAGTTGAATATTAGTCAAGTTGAATGTGGTCTAATATTAATCAAGTTAGGAGTAGTGAGAAGTTAATCAAGTTTAAAGCAGTCAATAACTAATCAAGTTCAAAGTAGTCAAAAGTAAGTCAAGTTTGAAGCAGTCAAAAATAAATCAAGTTCAAAGCAGTTGAATATTAGTCAAGTTGAATGTGGTCTAATATTAATCAAGTTAGGAGTAGTGAGAAGTTAATCAAGTTTAAAGCAGTCAATAACTAATCAAGTTCGAAGTAGTCGAAAGTAAGTCAAGTTCGAAGTAGTCGAAAATAAATCAAGTTCAAAGCAGCCGAATATTAGTCAAGCTGAAAGTAGTCTAATATTAATCAAGATAGGAGTAGTCAAAAATTAATCAAGTTTAAAGCAGTCAGTAACTAATCAAGTTCAAAGTAGTCGAAAGTAAGTCAAGTTCGAAGCAGTCAAAAATAAATCAAGTTCAAAGCAGTCGAATATTAGTCAAGCTAAAAGTAGTCTAATATTAATCAAGTTAGGAGTAGTGAGAAGTTAATCAAGTTTAAAGCAGTCAATAACTAATCAAGTTCGAAGTAGTCGAAAGTAAGTCAAGTTCGAAGTAATCGAAAATAAATCAAGTTCAAAGCAGCCGAATATTAGTCAAGCTGAAAGTAGTCTAATAATAATCAAGTTAGGAGTAGTCAGAAATTAATCAAGTTTAAAGCAGTCAATAACTAATCAAGTTCAAAGTAGTCAAAAGTAAGTCAAGTTTGAAGCAGTCAAAAATAAATCAAGTTCAAAGTAGTCGAATATTAGTCAAGTTGAAAGTAGTCTAATATTAATCAAGATAGGAGTAGTCAGAAATTAATCAAGTTTAAAGCAGTCAATAACTAATCAAGTTCGAAGTAGTCAAAAATAAATCAAGTTCAAAGTAGTCCAATATTAATCAAGTTGAAAGTAGTCTAATATTAATCAAGTTATTCGTAGTGAATAACAATTCGGTTCAATGAATAATGACTATAATCATTCCTGTTGACCCTAAACTCTCTGACACATGTAATAAAACACAATAGTAAATAATTTAACGTCACCCTAACTTTGTTTATTCTTTCACCATGAAAATTCACCGCACCTTCGTAAAATTAAAATCAGACATAGGAGTCCAAAATAAAATATTTTTCCGATATCCAAGATATCGATCTAATTTCCTTTACACCGTAACACAACATAATTAAATTACGATGGTATCCCTATTAGACATTTAATCCATGCAATATGTGTGCACGGACATATTAGTAAGGCTAGGAGCACTGATCCCGTGTAATCCCGTAGTAGGGAAGTGGTCAAGCCTTTCGGGACTTAACGGCTTCAATTATCAACACCTAATTATGACTCGTGATCCTAACAAAACACCATGATGTCGCAACGGCCCTTTGAGCTTTTCCCCCGCAACCCTTTCGCAAATTTGCTCTTTGTGCCCCTGTCAACGTAATCCGCAACGTTCCGCCGACGCAATAATTCCCTGCACCAACTGATATTTTATTACCAATTTTGAAATTAACACGCTAGTTCAAACAGAAACAAAAAACGGTGAAATGCTACCGTTTCCGATTCTTGGGGGCAACAATGGCCCTCCGCGGTTCGATGATTTATTTCTACACAAGGACCGTATTACTAATTCATTATTTACATGTGCCAACGATAAATTACATTTGGACGTTCGCTCTAACGACGTGGCACCACGCTGGTTAATCGGTGATAATTGAAAATTGTATAGTGACGCGAGAGCAACGGGTCCTCTCCTAATTCTCCCGTAAACAATTACGTATTTTCCATGGTGTTTGTCACTTGGCCGGCCTTTTTCTCCTTTTGGATGGAAATCGCTGTGCCTAAACGTCTTTTCCGATGCACGAAAGCACGGGCCACCGAACGGACGCGACCAGTGGTTTGACAACTCTTTAGAGAGGAGCCGAGGTGTCAAATGTAACATCTCTCTGCCAACTACCGTGGTACATAACTACGCACGATCTCTTTCACATTTTCTTTCTCATTCTCCTTTTTTTATTTATGAAGGTTTATTCAATTCCCGACGTTCGGCCTTTCCTTTCTGGCCGGTTTAATGGGACCCTCTTACGAGCTCGAACCCTGTCGAAATGAGAATTCTCTTGCGGCGACAAATTTGTACATCTGTTAATTTTTGCTGGTTTTACTTCTTTCAGAGGTTGTTTCGATTTTAGGGGTTAATTATTCTACTTTGTTTCGTGGTTTCGGTACGAGATTGAAAGATACAGAGTTTCTAGGTTTTTATGTTGCGACTTTTTTGAATTTAATGTTTAGGAGTTAATTATTCTATTTTGGTTTATATTTTGGGGGAGGATTAGAAGATTTTGTGAATAGGACTTTTCGGAATTTTTCGTGTTACACGATGGAGACAATTTTGGAGCTCTTAGTGTATTTTGTAAATTTTCTATTTTTGAGTTTTTTAAATTTATTATAAAAATTTGTAATTTCCTTATTACCAAAGAACAGAATTCTCTAAAACTCAAATACTCAAATCACCAAATCACTAAATCACCAAATCACCAAATCACCAAATCACCAAATCACTAAATCCCTAAAACCTTAAATTTTTAGATTCCCTTCATCAGACAAACTAATAAACAATAAACCTGTACCTAATTAATAATTTTCCACCATATATTTCTTCGTCCAATTTCCCCTAGAATCTCCCCAAAATACGATGCGTCACTTTACCAATAAAATATCGTCAAAATTCTATTCCTAAATTACCAATCAAGCTACTTAAAACACTCACAAACATCCATAAATTATTCTTTCCAAACCAAGTCTTTCGCTTCTGGGCACATTTGGAGAGCAAACTCTTACATCAAACAGGTAGTCTCAGAGAACGCCGCTATTATCAACAAATGGCGTAATATTCTCATTAATAATAATTGCCGTCACCTTCGATCTAACAGATAATTACTAAAATTTATTCCAAGAAAATCGATGCATGTTTATATTTTCTTAAAGCGCAACAAATTGTAATCAAACAAGACATTAATTGTCAGTTATGCGGTTAACTGATCTAAGCTTATTATGCAATTTGCTGTTTATACCGGGTGTACCGATTAATACTCAATTTTTAAGAAAATTTAAATTTGTGAAAAATTTATTCAAAGTTACATGGTTAGTTGTTTTACGATCTGCTCTTCAAATTGTGTCCTCCTAAAATTGTTCACATTTTGAAACCAGTCTAACATTTAAATTTGAGAAAAATTTATTCAAAGTTACATTGCTAGCTACTTTACTATGTGGTCTTCAAAATGTGTCCTCCTAAAATTGTTCACATTTTGAAACCAGTCATTTTTAGTTTGAAACTAGACTTACTTAAATATATTTGAGGACCTGAGAATTTTCAGGTATTGTCACAGCAAGTTACATGAGAGACTAAATATACCTGAAGAGATCTAATACTACTATTCATTTATTACTTTAATTATTGAAACCACATAAAAATACTAAAATACCTTCACAAGAAATTACAAACTATCTAATTTTAAGGTTAACTCCTCCGTCGGTAAGGTAGGGACTCTCCGAAAATTCCACTCTAAAATTTTCCTCCGAAAAGTCAAATCTGAAATTCTAATATCTCAATGACATTTTTAAAGAACAGATAACCATTGTTTATTTTGGATCTGCTTTTTCTCGCGGTGGCCTTTGTAGCCGCTTATTTGGTTAGGACGCAAAAATAGACGCAGGATTTCGTTTGCTCGTTCGCCTTTTCGTCTTACCGTCCGCAAACATTCGATTTCGTGCGGCTACCAAATCCTTCCGAAGGACACCGCCAAGGAAACTGGATCCTTATCGCGGCACGAGTTACTTATTACTCGTTAATTGGGAGTTAATGAAATTCGACGCTCGTCCCTCGTCCAGCCGTTTACATATGGGTTTCGCTGTTTGGCCGGCTGAAAAAGTGTCCGAAAGGTTCCTGAATTCTCTCTCTCTTTTTTTTCGAGTCCATCGTTTTCTCGTCGCTGATCGATGCGACAAGGGAGAACCTAAAAATTTCGATGCTATTTTTTCTTGTTGGCTTTGCTGTTCGATAGAGCGGAGATTCGTCCGACATAAATATCAGGCAATTTTTAGTTCGTTAAATGATAATGGATGCGATAAAACGTGTAGTACACTGTAGAACCTACCGTATACAGCCATTAAATACCCTAATATCGAAGCGTCGCTTGTTTCGATTGTAAAGGTCGTTCTAGTAATAATTAGAGAGCAGAGTCGAGTGCACAAGGATTATGTGAACTTTATAGGGATCTTTTATTCGATCACTTTCGAGGGAATGGAAATATAAATATTTCTAAGAAAATATGTATAGTTTAGGAATTGAATTTTAGTATTAAATATTTTATATTAATAAATATTTTATAAATTATGATGTGTGTTAAGTGTCTCATAAGTTATGAGATTAAATGTTTGATGAATTAAGGGACTGTTTTTATTAAATATTTTATAAGCTACATTACAGGAATAAGGATTTTGCAAGTTGAACTATGATATTTTTTAACTTAAACTGCAGTGTATTTTACAAATTAAATTACAATGTGTTAAATATTTTATTATATAAGGTATATTACAAGGTTAGGTTGAGTTAGGTTAAATATTTTATAGGTTGAATACATATTTTACAAATTAATTTTTATCTGACGAGTTAAACTAGAATACATATGAAATATTTTACAAATTGAATTCCAATATATTTTAAATATTTTGCAAAATAAATTCCAGTACATATCAAGTATTTTACAAATTAAATTTTAATATACATTAAATATTTTACAAATTAAATTCCAGTACATATCAAGTATTTTACAAATTAAATTCTAATATACATTAAATATTTTGCAAATTAATGCCAATACATATCAAGTATTTTACAAGTTAAATTCTAATATACATTAAATATTTTACAAATTAATTCCAATACATATCAAGTATTCTACAAGTTAAATTCTAATATACATTAAATATTTTACAAATTAAATCCCAGTACATATCAAATATTTTACAAATTAAATTCTAATATACATTAAATATTTTGCAAATAAAATTCTAATACATATCAAGTATTTTACAAACTGAATTCTAATATACATTTAATATTTTACAAATTAAATACCAGTACATATAAGAAATTTACAAATTAAATTCCAATATAAAATAACAAATTAAGTTCCAATATTAAGCGCAATACAAACACATGAAATAAGTTAACTATTACGAAAGTGATCTAAAACTGCGTTGTAAAATAATTTCAAAAGAGCCTGTACCTTGTCGGCCTGAATACCGATCACGTAAATCGGTCAAAGTTTGCTCATCGAAAATATTGTCTCTGTTCTCTCGAATACGCACATGTTCGTCTTCGCGTTCTCCATCCGCCATATTGAATCACTATCCGGATCTCCCATTAGCTGGCAAAGAACGTTTCACAGGACCGGTTAGGAAGACAGTCGCACTCTGGCATTCTACTCTGCATTCTCCTGATTTAGTCCCTTGGTAGCTTCACTTTTTCCCTCTTAATTACTTGTTCTGTCTAATTAAAGGATCATGATTGCTTTCGTAATAACTTCTTTACTGAGAATACCATACTGAATTAGTTTCAATATTAACCATTTCATGGTACTATTATCATTTGTAAAATTTATGCAAAATTTTAATTTGGTACAGAGGTACTTTGCATGAAAAGTAATAATTAAAGCGAAAGTTAAATAAAGCAAAAATTATCATTTGTAATATTTATAAAAAAATTCTGGTTCGACACAAAAATTCTAAGACTCACACCTTGATAAGTTTCAAATGTCATTTAAATATGAGAAAATTCATGTAAAATTTTCAGAAATTAATCAAGTTTAAAACAGTCAGTAACTAATCAAGTTCAAAGTAGTCGAAAGTAAGTCAAGTTCGAAGCAGTCAAAAATAAATCAAATTCAAAGCAGTCGAATATTAGTCAAGTTGAAAGTGGTCTAATATTAATCAAGATAGGAGTAGTCAGTAATTAATCAAGTTTAAAGCAGTCAATAACTAATCAAGTTCAAAGTAGTCGAAAGTAAGTCAAGTTCGAAGCAGTCAAAAGTAAATCAAGTTCAAAGTAGTCGAAAGTAAGTCAAGTTCGAAGTAGTAAAAGATAAATCAAGTTCAAAGCAGTCAAATATTAGTACATTATTAAATATGAGAAAATTGGTCTAAAATTTTGATATCAAAGAAAATTCATATCTCTTGCATTATCACAAATAAAATTATAAAATTGACGTGGTTCTATTATTAGATCAGATTTTTGACTCACTCCAAAATTCTTTTCCTTTCTGACATACATCATTATTATTTTTGACTCCCATCAGTTTTGATATATTTCTAAATTTGTTGCAGATTCCGGATCCGAAAGTGGATCGCATAAAGCAGGCGTGGGTGGCACTCGAGGATCGGGCGGCCATAAAAGCGGTGGCGGCTCTGACGGAAAACCGACCAGGGTTCGCACTGTTTTGAACGAGAAGCAGCTTCACACTTTGAGAACTTGTTACGCCGCCAATCCACGACCGGATGCGTTGATGAAGGAACAATTGGTCGAAATGACTGGCCTCAGCCCCAGAGTAATTAGGGTATGGTTCCAAAATAAACGATGCAAGGATAAGAAAAAAACGATCGCTATGAAGCAGCAGATGCAGGAAAAGGTGAGTGCAAAAAAAAAAGTGAAACACTTAATCGATCGATTAAAAGATCTAAAATTTCGTTTCATCGAAGCCATGTTTCAGTTTTTATTTTTGTGAATTTTTCTTGCAGTAATTTTATTAAAAACTGTGCGTATTTTGCAATAATAAAATTATGAAAAATTTCACACGGTAATTTTCACTGAATACGTCAATTTTTAAATTTATCTGTTTTTTATTAAGCCTGTATGAATTATATTTTACGTTTTTATGGTAATTTTATTGAAAGCAGTTTGAGTGCCATCATAAAATGAGAGATCATTCAGTAAAGATGATAGACAACTTTTATGATATTTAACAGGTTTTTATTAAGCCTTTCACATATTTATTTCGTTAAGAAAACGAACCATAAAATTTCGAATAAAATTGACGGAGAAAATGTCGATTGTATGAATGTTAGTCTAAAATGAAGATGATTTAGCAATAGTTTAACGAATCCAGGTATTTTTTGTTTCAGGATGGCCGTAAATTAGGCTTCGGTGGAATGCACGGAATTCCTATGGTGGCCAGTAGTCCAGTGCGACACGAGAGCTCCATAGGAATGACGCCACTCGAAGTGCAAGCTTATCAGCCACCCTGGAAAGCTCTTTCTGACTTTGCTCTTCATACTGATCTGGATAGGCTAGATCCCAACACGCCTTCTTTTCATCATTTAGTGTCACAGGTAATTCAATATGTTTTTTGTCATTTTTGTTCTACTGGTGAAAACTTGAGTTTGAACTTGAGTTATAAATAGACGACTTCAATTCGCAATAGCAAGCTTGAGTTTCAACTTGAGTTCCAAGTAGACAACTTGAGTTGCAAATAGAAAACTTGAGTTTCAACTTGAATTCCAAATAGGTTAATTGAGTTACAAATAGAAAACTTGAGTTTCAACTTGAGTTCCAAATAGGTTAGTTGAGTTACAAATAAAAAACTTGACTTCTAACTTGAGTTCTAAATAGACAACTTGAGTTGCAAATAGCAAACTTGAGTTTCAACTTGAGTTCCAAATAGACAACTTGAGTTTTCAATAGCAAGCTTGAGTTTCAACTTGAGTTCCAAATAGACAACTTGAGTTCTCGATAGCAAACTTGAGTTCCAAATAGACAACTTGAGTTGCAAATAGAAAACTTGAGTTTCAACTTGAATTCCAAATAGATTACTTGAGTTACAAATAGGAAGCTTGAGTCCGAACTTCAGTTCTAAATAGACAACTTGAGTTGCAAATAGAAAATTTGAGTTTCAACTTGAATTACAAATAGCCTACTTCAGTTGCAAATAAAAAACTTGAGTTCTCACTTGAGTTATAAATAGACAACTTGAGTTTTCAATAGCAAACTTGAGTTTCAACTTGAGTTCCAAATAGATCACTTGAGTTACAAATAAAAAACTTGACTTCTAACTTGAGTTCTAAATAGACAACTTGAGTTTTCAATAGCAAGCTTGAGTTCCAACTCGAGTTCCAAATGGACAACTTGAATTCAAACTTGAGTTCTAAATAGAAGACTATATTTCCAATTTGAGTTCCAAATAGAAAACTTGAGTTTCACCGTGAGTTGCAAATAAAAAACTTGAGTTCCAACCTGACTTGCACATTGAAAACTTGAGTTCCAATTTGATTTCCAAATAGAAAACTTGAGTTTCAACTTGATTCCCAAATAGAAAACTTGCGTCCCATCTATAGTTCCAAATAAAGAAGCTTGAGTTCTAACTTATATTTTCACCATAACATTCCACCAAAATCACAACTCCAAAATTTTGTAATACAAATCATGAAATCTGAAAAATAGTAATACTATTAAGTTCATAAAAACACAGCCTCTTAAACATCTCCTAATAAAAACAAGGTTCCACCTTCAAAGCAAACGTCTCCTATACTCCTGTAATTAATCCAAAAATAAAAACAAGGCTCTACCTTCAAAGCAAACGTCTCGTACACTCATACACGTCTCCTATATTCTTATAATTAATCCAAAAATAAAAATCCCGTGGAAATTATTTGATTCCAGATGCACGGTTACGATCTCCATAGCGGTCCGCCGCAACTACCACCGCCGGGTATGCTCGGTGGTCCAATGAACGACGGTGGAGGCGGCGGGGGT